GGGGGGGGGGGGGGGGGGCACGGAGGCGCACGCAGTTCCCGGCCCGCTGAACCGGCACGATCAAACAGACAATAACATGCACCGGGGGCCGAAGTTCGCGCGCGAGCGCGAGTCGCCTCCGTCCGGGGCACATGCCCACGGCCGAGATGGTTCAAATGAGGGCCCGGCCCAGAACACACGCACACACACACACACACACACACACACACACACACACACACACCCGGGCGCCTCTCCCCTCGCGCCTCACCTCCCTGGGAGGGGCGCGCGCGTTTCCCCCGCGCACACCCGCGGCCGCACCACGGGCCGCGACGGAAGGGGAGTCGGGCTGGGCATGAGCGCGCACACACACACACACACACACACGCGCGCGCGCGCGCGTGCCGGTGTTCTCTGGGCCCGCATCCGACCGACTACGGCGGCCAATATATTTCATATCACGCGGGGCCCTGTGGCGGGGCGGGCGAGGGGGGACATGGCGCGCAGATTGCTTCGGGCGGCATCCTCCACTGCCTGAGCAGCGGCGAGGGCCCGGGCGTGACGCGCGCCCGTGCCCGCGCGCCCGCGCACGCACGCACACACAAACACCCGCACAATTGTGCGCGCGCGCGCGCGCCAAGCCGGCTCACCCGCCCCCGCCGCCCCGCCGGCCTGGGCGCCCCCCTCCGCCCGGCCCGGGCCGGGACCCGCGAAGAATGCACACCCGCGCCGGCGCCCAGCAGCGCGCCGCACACGAACGCCGCGTTAGCCCCTGGCCCGAGCGCCCGGCAGGAGCCCCCGCACGGCACGGGGAAAGCCCACACACACACACACACACACACACACACACACACAGACATATCGCCACACCCCGCAGCGAGGCGCCCAGCCGTGACGGGGTCCTCCAGAACCGCTGGTGTCCCGCCTGGACCCGGCCCAGGGGCGCCCATCTGGACGTGCAGATCCTCGCCGCGGCCCGGTGCTGACTCGACCCCTTTTTTCTCCCCCCCCCCCCCAGCCACCCAGGCCACGGAGAACGCCCCCGGGGGCGCCGGTCCCAGGGCGGAGGCGCGCGAGCGGGAGGGGGACAACCGCCGGACACCGCAGGCCGGCCGCCAGACACAGGGAAATACCGGCGCACCCCCGGGGATGCGCGCGCACCACACGACGGCGCCCCGCGCACAGTCGGCGCCCAGCCGGCGGGACCGACCCCTGATACTGCCAGGCGCAAGGCTCCGGCGACCCCCTCTTTCCCGGGGGGCCGAATAGTCCGATCGCCCTGCCCGCGCGCAGCCCGTCGCCGGCAGACACACAGCCGCACACACATGCATATATAGTATATATATCAGGCATATATTTATGCCTGCTTTTTTTTTCCAGAGATCCTCCCCTCCCGCGGCTCTATGTCCTCCGGTGTCCCAACTCCCCCCCTCCGGGCCGGGGCGCAGATCCGCCGCCCGCCCTGCGAGAGCCTCCGCGCCAGGCCCGTACGGCGGCGGCTGCGGCGGCTGCGGCGGCCGCGGCGGCGCCGACGGCGGCAGCCGATGAGGG